AAAAAATATGAAGATTATTTATTACCAAGGAAGTTCTTGATTAGAACTGATAATACTCAAGTTCAAGCCTTTTTGGAAAATAATGTTGATCCATCTATTGCCAACAGATATATTATTAGAATACAAATTTGGTTTTCATATTTCAAATTTGAGATTGAATACATAAAAGGTAAAACTAACTTTCTTTCTGATTATCTTAACAGGGATGGAGCTAGAACAACCAAGGACGAAAGTCTAAATACTTGAGATAAAAGTTTCCTATTTGGAAACACAAATTCAAAATATCCAAGATAGTTTTCGAGGCAAAAATATAGCCTTTGAGGCCGAAGTAATTTGTACCAAGTCTAGTATTCCTTCGCTGGGACTTGTGAATATTAGCGCTCTCCCCGAGGATAAAAGGAAAGAGAAGAAGGTAATAGGAACCCCTTCACAGGGAATACTTAAGCCTATTACTGGTAATGAAGAGACAAAAATTCCCACTAGGGAAGATATTCAAGATATAAAAAACGAAGGTAACTCTTCACAGAGCCAAACTCAATCTAAACTTTCTATTGAAAGAATAGATCCAAAAGATATTGTCAAGATATGCCATGAAGCAAAAATTTCCAAAAAAGATAACCATGAAGAAGTTATGTTCTTTATTGTTATTTTTAATGTTCTATCAGATTGGTATCTGGAGATAGAAAAGTGGATGAAAACTCTCCACTATGTAAAATACAACAAGATAAACTTCTATCCAGGAGCACCAGCCAACTGGGTACGAAACTGTTTTGAGATAGGGAATATACTATGTATATATCCAAGCAAAGATCTGAAAGAAATAGCCCAGCTTCCAGTTAATATCAGGAAAGCTGTTAAAAGATATACTGAAATCGTCAAGATAACAAATATATACATCAGATTTCATTCAACAACTATGGAATGGGATTCCGTTCTTGAATATATGCATCCATCGTTCCATGTTATCAAAATGGGACTTACAAACTAACATTTTTTACCAATTAGTCAAAATGTTGTTAAAAATGGATATCAAGATATTTTAAATATGATGCCCTACAGAAGAGCAAAAGGGTACAAAGAAATATTTGAACATGTAACTCAGATAATTACTGAAAAAGAAAAAATATGGGTTTATCCATCTGAAGACCATATTATCTACTCCAATGCAAGAATGGCTACAAAAGAAGAAGATATTTGTTATCTCGACCATTTATTATCTGCCATTATCTCCAACCAAGTACATGGATCAGAAAATATGGCTAAAGAACTGTGCCAATTACTTTGGAACTACAGTGATCACCATTGTGAATACTGCGTAGTTGAAGATATGAGTCAAGCATCTCTCAACAGTGAAGAATTCCCTGGAGAATTCTTTGATTCGAAAATGGAAAAGTGATGGTAACAAAAGTGGCCTTTTATCACTACTTTAATAAAAAAAATTACTAAAGAAAAACTGTGGCTACTAAAAGACAGAAGATAGTGCAAAAGTCTCCATAATTATGACTACTCACCCACCAGTTGTCATAAGTGGAAGACAAATTCAAAGATAAGGTATAAAATTTCAAAAGGAGAAGGTCCACCTAGCAAGAAGATAATGAAGAAATCGGTGTAGATAACATTATTGAGCTACCCAACAAAAGGAACTGGAAAACACCTGTCAAGATAAGATTCTCAGATACTTCTATAAAACGAGGCAAGAAGGAAGATATCTCGAAATAACCTATCTCTTAAACACTCTGAAAAAACACATCTTAGAGAGATATTTTAATCTGCATACACCACTTGTATTCAAAAAAATATTAGATAGCTTGAAGATAGCAAAACTTGTAATAAGGTAATTACTTATGGAGTTCTAAACTTCATAAGGTGAGTACCAAATGTATGTAAATATAGATTGTAAGTATGTACTATTTCAGTTTATGAATATCAAAGTAAAGTTTGTTATGTTCAACAAAGTTTTTATATAAAGATTTCGTTAAGTTTCTCATGATTCCTCGACAGTACAGATAGAAATTTTAAAAGATTTTCAAAACATTGATTTTCAATGGATGTTAGTCATGCCAAAGTACTCGTTTTTAATAAATGGTTTAGGGAAAAATGCAGTTTTCTAACAAAATTGTAACACCTTGTATGTGAGTTATATTTTAAAATTTTGTTCCAAGTAAGAACTTGATTATGAAAAGAGTTTGGATAGAGGTGAAAATAGAGACTCTGGATACTGTGAGATAGCGTCTGTCGTAACACCGCTAGTTCTTTAGAATGAGAAATGCAACTTTAATTGAAAAGCTTTTTGCGGAAGCAGTTGTGGACCCAAATGATTTCAAAAAACATTTTAAATCTTTACTTGATTTAGAAGATTAATTAAGTACATGCAAAGCATTTATAAGAGTATACTGGAGGGAAAGCCTGTTTACTTCTATTTGATTACTGTAAATTATTTAGTTTCTTTTACATACTTATGCTTTGATTATTTTGATGAACAATTCACAGGCATCCACATCTAATGATCTTAGATTATACTTAGATGAGAAATATATTTCGTTTTTATTTAAATTAGTTGAAAAGTCTGAAAATATATTTCCTGTTGGCAAAGAAAAAATTGAAGAAATATACCAAGATATAGATTATTTTTGTAAGCACAATATAAGATTTGATTCTGTAAGAACTAGCAGAGAAATAAGAAAGATAGAAGATATTATAACTAAACATAGAAATATACAAGAAGAAGTCTCAGAAGGATTAGTTCGAGGATACATAACTAAGGAAGATCAGTGTAAGATCTTTGAAAAATTATCAAGATACAAAGAATATTTAAAGGTATTTGAAAGATTGAAAAATATAGATATAGATCCTGATTAATAAGTCCCGAAAGATACATGATACATCTTGTAAATAATAAAAGTAAGAGTAAAATAGTATTTCTAATAGAAGAGGCCATTATGAAAAATAGGATCAATAACCCGGTCATTTAGAAGACTGCCCCATTGAAAACCCTAGTTGAACTGGGCCCTCTGATTATAAATAAACAACGTGGCTATCTTGCCATTCTTCATCTTCCTCCTGTTCTTTATATTTCTTTTATTTTATTTTTCAAAATTGAGTCGAGTTTTTGATCGTTTTAACTCTGGAATGGATCTGTGTACAATAAGCCGATGCTCTGGATTTGAAATTATGAAGGAAGCATGGTAATGTGCACAGAGAATGAAGATTAAGGTCGGCATGTCTGCTCTCACTGATTCTATATGATTTGGGGGCCTGGTTTAGACCTCCACTTTTTCTATTATTTTTAACCTATTGAGCTCTTCATATTTTATTTCTCTGATATGAATGCATTTTTTTATTTTATTTTATTTAAGGTTGCAGTGAATTAAGATTTATATTATTGGTTTGTAATTTTTCCTTGAATGGGTTACTTTCCTTTAAATGTTTTGGGACGCAATCGCAAGATTTTATTTGTGGATTAATTATTGGTTTGAGTTTATTATTAAAAAAATCAACTCCAATTCATCACAGGAATTGTTAAATCAAATAAAAAATGTGTTTTTGCTTATTTTTTATTTTTAATATTAATTAATTAACTATAAATTTTATTATTAATAAAATTATTAAGTCCTGTTTGAACTCCATTTTTCTCAAAAATTCATTTTTTAAAAAATTTATTTTTAATCATAATTTTATCCGTAAACTTATAGCCTTTTCATGTTTGTTTAACCACACAAGCAAATTGCACTGTGTACAGAGCAATTTTTTACAGGGGATTTACCGACCACTCACTATAGGGGTCGGTCCCACATGAAAAAAAAAAAACTAAAATACGTCGAGGCTCGAGCTGTGAGTATTCTAGCAGGAGAAATGTAGCAGGGCTTAACCATGTTTGTTTAACCACACAAGGAAATTGCACTGTGTACAGAGCAATTTTTTACAAGGGATTTACCGACCCCTCACTATAGGGGTCGGTTCCATATGAAAAATAATAATAATAAAATATGTCGAGGCCCGGGCTCTGAGTATTCTAGCAGGAGAAATGTAGCAGGGCTCAACCACACAATCTAAAAAAAATCACTATTTTAAAACACTTTCTCTAAAAAAAAAGAAAAAAGAAAAAAAAAAGGGAATCAAACAGGGAATATATTACTAATTATGCCCCTATTTAGTAAAGATTAAAATTAGACTTTTAATATATTTGATAAAGGTTGATCAATGTGAGTTGAAAATATGTGGTTATTATGAAAAATGTGATTAAATTTTAAAATTGATTTTGATTGAAATCAAAATTTAGATTTTGCCAAACATGCGATCAACTAGAATATTGATTTATAAATAAGTTAAAAAACACTACACTTATATTACATTTAACGATATAAATAAACTATATATGATGAAAAAAATTAATTTATTAAAATTTTAAGTAATAAAAGAATATAATAGGAATTAAAATTTATTATAGTACAAGATGAAGGATAAAATTTAAAATAACAAAACTCTATAAATTATACCAAATGAACATTTTAGCACCAAATTTGGTGTTATTAAACCAATTTGAAGTTGGATTGGAGGAGCATTTTTACATCAATTTGATGTTCAAGCCTTTCAAGAATCAATAAATCATATTTTTAATTAAAGTTTTGATAAAAGGGAGGAAAAAACTTATTTACCTATTATTTTTTAAATAATTAAAAAAATAACAAATAAATAATTTGACCAATTATTTTTTCTTTATCTTAAATCATGCTAATAGAAGAATGAAAAAAGACTACTAGAAAGGAAAAACGTGAATAAAAGTCGTATGTTCTTAGATTGTTGTTTGCACTATGAATACGGAGAAAAGAAGGAAAGGGGGATTGGCATGCTCTGTTTACAATTTGTTTATGTAGTTTTCATTAAAACAAAATGTCAAGGGTTAGGTGGACCATGACAGGGTCGGTCCCGAGAATTTAAAGGCCCTATTAATATTACTGTTTATAAATAATAACCAAGAAATTCTACATTCTCTCCATACATGCAATAAACCATGTGCGAGGTGAGCACTAAGTTATCATAAAGGCCAAAATAATACAAAACACTAATACAATCAAATTACGATTTCTTTTGTTGCAAAAGCAACAATTTTAAAAAGATCTTGGCTTTAAGACAATGGTGGAGTGCTTCAAAATATGCAGACTGAACTGCCCTCCCTTTTCGCTAGTGTCTATCTTTGACTGCCCGGGGGGAGGCAACAGCTCAAAATTCTGCACCAAACGTCCCAAAGTAATGCCAAGAATTGGCAATGCAAGTATGATTCCAGGGCAGCTTCTCCTACCGACGCCAAATGGGAGATACCGGAAGTCATTACCATTAGCCTCCACTTTCGACTCCTCTTCCAAGAATCTTTCTGGCCTGAACTCTTCGGGTTTCTTCCACTGAGTTGGATTGTTGGCTAGCCACCAAGCATTGACCAAGATTTTGCTTTCGGCAGGAATATCATATCCTCCAAGTTTGGCATCGCTGAGGTTCATGTGGGGCACGAGAAGAGGGATAGCCATACGGAGACGAAGTGTTTCTTTGACCACGGCCTGAAGGTATGGGAGTTTGTGGATAACCGGTTCTGTGACTTGTACTCCTGGTCCGAGTACGGTGTGGATCTCTTCACGGAGTTTCTTCTGGATCTCGGGGTGATTCACTAATTCTGAAATACCCCATTCAATAGACCACAATGTTGTTTCGATTGCTGCCATGAAACCACAAGTAAATAATTAGATGATTGCTAAAAAATAAGACAAAAATCAAGAATCTAGCTTCTTTTTCATTTAGAACTGTTGTGCACTTCATCGAACCAAACATCATTCAAGTCATCATCACATTATAAAATATTATACCCATGTTTGGTTTTAATAAAAATCAAAATTTTGAAAAATTTTGAAAGATGTTAACAAAATGTATAGTTAAAAAGTTGATAGAAGTTAATACGGCCCATGGTTGAAATTTTAAGAAATAAAGGACAAACAAAAACTACGACTATTCAATAAAAAAAGTTTGTCAACTCCTTCACACCAAAAGTATTATTGAAGTCATCATCACGTCCACGTTAGTGGGCCATATAAAATATGATCAAGTTAAAGATATGACCTTTCTCGTACCTATATCAACCTCATGTGATATACTCCAACCACCCGATTTAACTACACGGTCCCTAATTCTCAAACCTCCAGATTAGGTCGAAATTTAATAGCAACCGACTCTACTAATATTTTGGAAAGGCTATGACCACTCAATTAGATTTCGTTTCGTTATGACCACTCAACTTTATACTTAATGTCATCATGATCGTCCAATTTGATTTTATTTCACTATAACCATCTAATTTCATATAACGTTTTTTTATGATTACTCAATTTTTTCCCACCTTTTTCACTAATTTTAAATGGGATAAAATGGTAACTTTGAATTATATATAAAAAATAAATTAAATAACAAAAACAAAAATAATTTTTTTTAATTTTAAAAATGTTTTACTTAAAACAAGTTTTTATTTTATTTTTTAATCTTGTTCGATAGTGATTTTGAGAATTAATTTTTTGACCGTAGAAAATAAAAGTGAGTTTTATCTATGAGAGAAAAGTCGAAAATAATAATCAAAAAATTGATTTTTTTTGGTGAAAAATCAAGACCAAACATACATTAACCTTTTTTAAGATAAAATTTTATTTAATTTTAAAAACATTTTATTTAATTTTTTATGGAACATTTATTTTAAAATAAGTTTTTATTTTATTTTAAAAATGTTTTCTTATTTTAAAATAATTTTTTTTAAAAAAAATGTTTTCTTTAAGGAACGTTTATTTTTAAATAAGTTTTTATTTTAATTTTATTAAATAATTTTTTATTTTATTTTTTAACGTTTCTTTTAAACTAAGCTTTTATTTTATTTTACTTTTTAAGTAACTTTTTTTTGAATAAGTTTCTATTTTATTTTATTTTTTAAAATTTATTTTATATATATAATGCAAAGTTATCGTTTTACCCTTATTAAAATTAGTTAAAAGAGTAAAAATAAGTTCGATGGTCATGATAAAATATTATATGAAATTGAGTGATCATGATAAAACGTTATATCAAATTAGGTGGTTATAAAAAAATAATAATAATAAATAAATAAAATTTAAGTAATCATGGTGACACTATGTGTACAGTTGGACGGCTATTAGTGGATTTAACCCTTTTGGAAATGGTCGAACTAGGAATGGGACAAAGGCCATAGAGTAAAAAAGAAAGAAAATCCAATATACAAGAGACGTACCAGCAACATTGATGTTCTCAACAATGTAGAGGACATTATCCTCGTTGATCTCTCCCTTTTGCTGAGCTTCAAGAATGTGATCAATGGCGCATTTCAGACCATTGTTGTCCATTGGCTTTGTACTCGCAAGCTTTCTGTCACATGAAAACAACCCGTTAAAATTGAGGAGCAGTGTTTTGTGCGCTTAAGTCTCATTTTTGGATTATTCTGTTTGGACAGGCCTAACTGAGGGTGAACCGGGCCCACAGGAGCCGACGGGCCCCATTTCGTTATTTGTGCATCACTTTTTACCACTTTGTTGACAGAAAAGTGCATTGGCAAAACTTGTACACCAAGCATTGTTCAAAAACTTACTTTCTTTCATCAACGAAATTGTCCTTGAAGAGTTGTAATCTTCTGTCCTTAACCTCCTTGCAGATCTTGAGGTATCCTCTCAAGAAAGGCCTCAAAATGGGAATGAAATCTCCATAATTATACTCAAAGCTTTGAGCCAATCTACTCCTTTCACCATTCAATGCTTTAAGCTTTACAAAAAGAGGATCCTCTTCACTCTCAAACCTTTTATCAAACATGATTCTGTACATGTTATTGTACATCATCAATTGCAATCTCTTCCTCAAAACAATCCCATTAGTGGCGGATTCAGGGTTCTTCTTCACATCATCAATCACGGCAGCCACTTCAGCCTCCCAACCGTGTCGGTACTGCTGCACAACCTTGTTGGTGAAAAACGGCACCGTCATGATCCGCCGCATCTTGCGCCAGTGCTCGCCGTAGACGGTGAACACCATATCTTGGCCTTTACCAGTGAAAATGTCGAAAACGACGTTCCTTGTGCGTGAACCGAACTCAACTCCCTGTGTGTGCAAAACGTCCTTCGCAAGGTCTGGCGATGAAACAACGACAAGATTACGTTGGCCCATTCTGAGCAAGAATATGTCACCGAATTTCTTGGCGTATTCGGTTAGATTCCGGTGGTTCAAATCATCGCCGACTTGGAGCCAATTGCCGAAAACCGGCACTGGAATTGGGCCCGGAGGGAGCTTAAAGCGTTTGCCACGTAGTTTGGAGATTACAGTGGCAACTATAATGGCGAAGAAAAGGCCGAGAAGGGTCTTCTCTAGAAGAAGAAGATCCATAATTGGAAGTAAGCTATCAAGAAATGGTTAACGGTGGTTGTGTGGCGGCTCATGGCGAAGGAAACTATCAGTGAATGGTTTTATAGAAGGGCGGCACAGGTTAGGTGGATGATGACGGTAGAGTGGGGCCCTCGCAGCTGTGGTTAGAGGATTTAATGGAGTCCAATTTAACGACGGGACTTCAAGGTGGAAGGATTAAACGTGGTAGGTATGGGGTTTGGTGAGTCGTACACTGTAATTGGAGTTGGTATTAATTGTCAACGACTAAGAAAATGATTTTAATCACATTATTAATTATTTTTATAATCATAAAATGGTACTCTTTTCCAAATAAAAATAATTAACTAAAAAATAAAAATCATTATCTTCACCCCTCTCCTATCCCTAACCCAAAACCCACTCCTATCCATACCCTAAAACCAAAACCTTGAAACCATTCGTTGCCCACAGCTGGTCGCCAACGTCACCGACACCAAATCCACTACCATTATCGCCTCCGCATTCTTTTTTCTTTTTACTGCCAAATGGATCCCACATGAAAACTTAAAATTAAAACCAATATATTTGATTTGGAAAAACAGAATCATCTCAACTTACAACCCACCGCCATCTTGCTAAGTTCAAGCGTCTGAACCACCACACTATCACCATCACCAGTCCAATGAGCTAGATTTGAGGAAATAACCACCACAGCTACCACAACACGTCCACCCCTGTCTACAATCTATAACCACCAAACACTTCTACCACAAACTTAATCAAAGCCGAAAACCCATTAGGCAACTAGTGCCACCACCGACCTAAATTGCCACGACCTCTACCATCAACCCATACTAGAACCACCTACCACCAGTGTCGACAACTACCAACACATGTAAATCCAAAAAATCCTAACACCACAAAGGAAAAAAAAGCACATATTCTCATTTTCATATCCAAATTCACTCGATCGAGAAATGTTTTCAAACAACATTAAGCCCCCATTAGTTCCCCATTTTGTGGAAATAAAAATAGGTGGAATAATTTTATTTTATTTTTTTTGAAAATTGAGTGGTTGAAAAAGAAGGAAAAGTTTTCGATTTACGTGTAATAATATTTTTGAAAAATTATATGATTGAAAATATGAGAAAAAATGAAATGTAATGGAATGAAAATTAAGGGGGCCAAACGGGGGCTAAAGAACAAAATCCAGATCAAGAAAATGAAAAAGAAGAAAAAAGCTGAGATTTGATTCCTTTTGACAAACTTGGCACTGGGAGCTCCACATGGGATTTCAATGTCAAACTCAACAATGGAACATCACACCCCACCTCTCGAGTCGAACTCGAACTTTTAAAATCATTAGGATCAAGAATGAGGTTCAATTTGATTTGTTTGTTGGTTTGGTTTTGTTGGGGTGATGTTGATTTCTAGTTTTGTGGGGTGGTATGGTGGCCAATTGTGGTTGGGTCGCCTTTGTTGACAGGCGACGGTTTTGACTTGTTTGGAGTGGATGGGATTGGTCATGAATGTTGTGGAAGATAATGATGTTTTATTTTTTAATTTATTTAATGTGAGAAAAATGCAAACTTATCATTTTACCCTATTTAATGTGGTCAAAATTGATCAAAAATTGACTTCATTAGTCAACTAACGATCAAATGGATGGATTCCATTCATATGTACTTCAGATGCATTTTTTTGAAAGGTTAGAGACCTTCGTTGACACAAATAAAAAGTTAGGATAGAGACCGCAAAATATGAAAAAGTTAGGAATCGCTACACCTTTCCCTTTTTAGACCCACAATTCATTACCTACTTTTTTCGCCACATTCTTGGGGACTTGAAACAAAAATTTTGCCCCTGTTTGGGAGCCATTTTTTAGGAAATTAATAGAAAAATTCTAACCGTTGAGATGTCAGGCGGGACACACGGTAGAGAGAAACAGTCAAAAAGTGCAGCTGAAATTTGAAATTAACGATCAAAATTCTCATTTTTTTCCCTTGAAAATGGGTCCCAAACAAGGGCTTTAATTTAATCACTATCATACAAATAATTAATGTCTCATCTCAATATTACCCAATTTACTTTATTATATCAAATAGATTTTTCTTAGGTTGTCATATTATTTAACCATCGTTTGGTCCCATTACTTTTAAAATAAATTTTTTCTCTTATTTTCAATAATATATTCTTCAATAAAACAATATTATACATAAATTCAAAACTTTTCTTCATTTTTTAACCATACATTCTTCATTAAAATATTATTAAAAATGCATTTTCATTGAAAAAAGGGAATCAAACAGGCTCATTATAGAAACAACCATCAATTTAGGCCATCTCATCTTGATTAGGAGAAAAATTATGTATACTGTGATTGTAGTTAATAATTGTGGAAAGCATTTTTCCATTGAAAACATAAAATCTAAAATTTCATTTTGTGCAAACATATTGTCAACTTGCTTTTCTTTTGTCATTTAATTACTTTTTTTACAATTAGATTCAAGGGACATGCCAAATCTACTTATTAAGTGCTAGTACTTTGGCTTCTCCCCATCTCTATAGGGGGATATGAGCACTTAATTCACTTTTGTTTCATAAACTCGACAGGAGATGAGATTCGTTAACTTGTTAAATTGTTACTACAAAAAAACTCACATCTTAACACACACACACACAGAAAGTTAACAAAAAATTGGTGCAGTAAATTGAGGATTATTCCATGTTATTATACTTTTTGTAATCCTTATTGTGACTAATAAGAACATATAGGCTTCTCACTTGTTCTTTAAGCTTTTGAGCAATCTTTTCAAGTGCTCGATTTTTAAAAGATTCATAGAAGTTCTATTAGAATTAGATCGTTCATAATTGTCGTAAATCTTTTACATTTTGATCTACTTCTCTTTTATTTGCTTATTTTGCTAAGATAATAGCGCCTGTTTGAGTAGCAACTTTTTCTTTTTGGTTATGCAATTTATGTTGGAGTTACCTCGCTATTATCTCGGCAAATTATCTTCGAAATCATAAATTGTGTGGTATAATAATATTAAATTAAATAATAATTTATGCACATGAATAAAAGTCACAAAATCTCCTAGTAACATAGTCGACATCTACATATAGAATCATTAAAAATCAAAAGTAAGACTTGGGGTGGATTCGGGCCGTGGACCGTGGTGGGATGGGATGGAAAATTTTGTCATCCTCACTCGTTCTAAAATGTTCGTGAACTATATAATTCCGATTTGAAGTTTATTAATATTTAGTATGGTGTTATACAATCAATTATTATTTAAATAAGTTTTAGAGTTTTAATCTTAAAATGTCAATATTATTTAAAGGAGCAGTTTAAACAATTTTGTAATTTATTTTAGGATTATTTGATGTGAAATTTATCTCTTAAAATATCCTAACAAGACGATAACTTGTTTGAGAACACAAATCTTGAAATTCATGGACTTATTTTGAGTTTTAAATGGATGAAGTAGTCTCTTTGAATTTAATGAACTTTGAAACGTATTAATAATCGAGTTTTATTTTAATATGTCATTTAGTTAAGAGAAATATTCCGAGCGACTATATATTAATTAATTATTCATAATTATTCAATATCTCCACTTATTCCCATAATATTATTAACATAATATGTTTACGTTTGCAAGCTTCGTCGTCATTATGTGTAAATCATGACCTAATTTTACTCAATAGTTTCCATTTCCCCCATTTTATTTTATTTTTCAATTGAAGTCGTAGGTAAGATTTTGATGTACGACATGGTGCAATTAAGTGGACCCCTACAGTTCAAAAAATCATGATCACTGCACTTCGGTACAACAAAATATTAGTGTGAAAAAATGCTAGTTTACCGACAAACTTAAGGGACGTTTATTTTTCATTTTTCTAAAAATAAGAATGAAAAATATAGTCGTTATGAATCCCACGTAAGAGATAAAAATGCAAATTAGATAGCTTGATGTGATGGATAACGGTCATATTTTTTTATTTTAATAGATAAAGAATGGAAAACAAACAGGGACTTAATTAAATTCTTGGTATAAATTAAAATCATATTTTTAATAAATATGGACTAAATATCAATCTCATAATTCACGAGTTTGGAAAAAGAGAGTCTATTTCGAGGAGAATATGGTGCCACGTAACCGGTCAAGATAGCCATCTTTTATTTGGAGATATTATGAGTTCAAAATAAATGATGTGGTCAAATAGAAAAATTATCGGTCAAACCATTTTTAAAAGTTGAAGATTATTTATGGTATGAGGAAGCACAACATTTGTTACACGTTTAATTATTGGGCGTATATTTTGGTCAATTATAGAGATTTCAATTTGATTGGTTAGTCTTAAAGAATGAACTAATTTGATTCTTAATCGAAAAGTTGAGATTCTGAGCTAGAAAACCTCAATTGTATTGAACAAAAAAATAAAATTTATTTAAGTTTAGCCAAACAATCACTTGGTTTATCTTAATATTTAAGTTTACTCAAATAAAAAAATTAATATTTAATTTACTTTCTTGTTTAAATATTTCATTAATTAATTATCTTAATTGGTCCTTATTTAATTATTTATTTTAAACACCTACTCAAATAAAAAAATTAATATTTAATTTACTTTCTTGTTTAAATATTTCATTAATTAATTATCTTAATTGGTCCTTATTTAATTATTTATTTTAAACACCTACTCAAATAAAAAAATTAATATTTAATTTACTTTCTTGTTTAAATATTTCATTAATTAATTATCTTAATTGGTCCTTATTTAATTATTTATTTTAAACACCTACTCAAATAAAAAAATTAATATTTAATTTGGTTTCTCGTTTAAATATTTCTCTATTAATTACCTTAATTGGTTAAGTATATTGTTTATTTAATATTTATTTCCTTTATTTAAATAATCACTTATGTAAATAAAAAATTAATATTTATTTTAATTTCTTATTTAAATATTTATTTATTTAATTCTCTTAATTAGTTATGTATGTTATTTATTTATTGTTTAATTACTTTGTTTAATTATTTATTTAATCACTTAATTAAATAAAAAATTAATATTTAATTTAATTTCTTATTTAGATATTTCATTAATTAATTATCTTAATTGGTTATGTATTTTATGCTTT